GAGCAGCGGCTGGCAGAGTCTAACAACAGGAGTGTGTTGGAGATCTTCTGCAGACGGCCTTCATTGTGGCGACGACTCCTGATTGATTAGAAACTTACGGAGCTTTTATAGTTTTCAGGCCCATCTCCGCCTATTGTCACACTTATGATTCACGGAGGCGGGACGGGGTACTTTTATTTGGACGTTTAGTCTCCGACTTAAGCTGTCCGATGGCCAGGTGTAATTGGCATGGTTATCAGGAGGTCCTCTCGGTACCGTTTGTTTGAAAAGCTTTCTGAGTTTTCTTCTGTTAACGTTTTCACTCGGAGAAAGAGACTGCGTGTGACGTAGGTTTTAAGACTCTCCTATGGGGTTTGTATTTGGACCAGTTTTGCATATTTTTGGACCGTTAAAAGCTCTTGCATCCTGGAATACACAACGCGCGTTACCACCGGCTGACCGGGAGACCCCTGTACCTTCAAGAAAGTTGACGAGCCCAAAGAAGTATGAATGAAAACTGACCTAGTGTGTAAATCGGGGGAGCTGACGCAGATAGGCCTGAAAAGTACAAAATTTTCAGTTGTCTTGTTAATTGTCGTACATTGTTAACACTTTACTTTGGCCTTCTTTCAGAAGCCCTAAATAGTTTTACCCTACAGCTGAACAACCAGGAACATTGCATCCAGGAAAGGCGCCAGTTTGTCAGCAATGTAACAATGGATGTGTACTGCAACAACACAAGTCCTGTTTCGCTGCTACAGCTACAAGGAGACACCGTTGCCAGTTTGTGCTCCATTTATGTCTGTCGAGGTTGGGATAGACTCAGTTCAGTTTGTGTTGTTCTGTCGTTTTCTGAATTTTTTTTTCTCCTATACACTGCCGTGGAATCCACACTGGGTCTATTTTTTTGTTCTCCTACACGCTGTTTGTTTCGGGTGGGGGAACTTTGTGTTAGGGCACTTAGATGTATGCAATTTCAAGGCATTTAGAACAAAGATCACATAGAAACAATCTGTGCTGAGATGATAGAAATAAGGTCACAGATAAAGCAGCAGTCAACACACCGAGCAAGGAATCTTGGGACCTACATCACGTGAGTCATCATCATTGATCATCATCAATTGGCACCTTTCCGTCTTTCCAAGCTATAGTGTAATATTGCGCTATGAAGAGGCATTACAGCCCATGGCGATGGCGAGTGTGACTAGCAAGACCCGCCCGTGTCAAGGAATTTTTTCCACAATGATAGCGTGATCACGTGATCAGTACCCTCAGACAAATAAATGAGGCGCTGATGGGGCTAGGGAACTTTTAGAAAAGATGTGAGAGAGTCATGACATTCATCTCGTCATGTACTGACTTTCTAAAATGGCGGTAAAGGCGGCAATCGTGATGTTAACCATATCAGTTATCGAACTCCCATTGGTCCAAACAAAACGTGTCTCTAGCCGCATAAGCCACTGACTGGAAACAGATCCGTCAAAAAAATGTCAAACGCTAAGCTTCATTCAGTATATTTAAACAATTTAGGTAAATTCATAAAAAGCAGACATCAATCAATCAGGGGTGTAAAGTTTGATAGTCTTCCTCTAGTCTGACATCTACTGTAAAGTAAGTAAAGGTCCCTTTTGCACGCCTTTCATGTGGCACATAGGGCTAGATCTATATTTTTTTTTAGACCAATTGGCACAAGATGGGTGATGTGGTCAGCATCACACCGGTCGCCTTTACTTCCCAGGACTGCACCTGGTACCCACTCAAGGCTGGGTCGACCTAGGAGCCAAAGTCTTTTTTTCTAAAGTCCCACGACCTTCCGACTCGTGACAAGCATCTAGCAGCTCTGCCACTACGATTCCCTATCTACTGTTGTAAACAGATCAATATTATCATCATCAGTGTCCACTTCTGCTGTGAGGCATTGTGGGGAGGAACATTTTGCGATCCCGTTTGTTAAGCAGCAATAGCTATTGTCATTCGATGACAATGAAGAAGCTCTTTAAGGTCATCAATTCATGTCTCCTAGGGCGGCCTCTTGATTTCACATATCTTTTCATGTGCAGCCCCTGCGTTTGTAGTTGTTCGGTCTGTTATTTGCCGGCTTCTCTCAGGCATCCCATTTCACATGTGGTAATGTTACATAGGCTAACCTTTGACAATGTCCAAGTCTGGCACTGGTAGCACAGTGTTGCTAGGAATATGATGTTTAAAATCTGTTTCTTTGTATCCATAGTTATGTTTCAATGTCCTTATAAAGGCGTCAGATGGTATTTTAGTGCACTGGCTCATTGGCATCTTGGTTGTTATTTCCCGATCTATTATTTTTTTTCTTCATGTTCACCAGCTGTAAACTCTGGCGGAAAGTTATGGTTCTTTTTCAACTTTTGGATTGCAGCCCTGTTCCAGAACCTGAGTGTTGCGTGTGCATCTGTTTTACAGATCTGACTCATTTGTATGCAGACTGCTGGTTCCTTGCTTCTCAGACAGATGCACTCTGACTTCAAAGAAAACTCTCAATTGTTCGACTCTTACCATATACTTGTGGGTAGGCATTGGGTATATTCTTGTTTTCCCTATAATAGGGCCCCGGAACCCACACGGAGTCCCGATCTATTATCTCATTCTCTGAGAATACAGATCTTAAATTTTCACATTCTTTAACCTATTTCAGACAAGAAGCCTTTAACAAGACATGTAACGGACTTGGCTTGACTTCTGTTGATCTGTATGTCTTTATTTTCAGTAGTATTTAGTATTTTATAGCTTCTATTTGTTGAATTTAGTCTGCTCATGTGTTGTGCAGTCTACTCCCCTCATTGGAAATGGATTTATCGTCTGCAAATAAGAGGTCGTTTAGTTTACTTTAGTTAGTTTAGTCGACAGATCAACATCATGGCACACAGCTGTAAACCTATAAGTTCTACTTCTAACTCCAGCCTAAGTGAAGTTTCTCAGGCCAGTGCGCGAACTCTGTTGCACCGGCGAGGATCCTGAAATACTTTTAGTTATAATTTTTACTCCTAATGTTTGCCAAGGCAGCGCCGTTAGGCTACTCTTTTTCGATTTCCAACTGCTAAGGGATTTTTTCATTTGCTCAGTAATACACAAGGGCGTCCGATATTATCATCAAGAGGCCAAGGAAACTTACTAGAAGTCCACGTGAAAAAAACCCAGCTTTTACTGGGGTTTGAAACCGGGACCTCTAGCACTTGAGACAGATGCCATACCTGAAGACCACGCAGCTCCCCGAAATAGCTCGTTTATTGTGTGTGGATATTTTTTTTTCCTCTAGAAAAAAAAAAAACATTCTGGATTTTCTTGGTCGACTGCTTTAAAGCTGGCTTCTTTCCATATTCTGTCTATGTCTATAGTAAATAAGAGAGGAGAGAGCACACATCCCTCCCTCTCCCATGTACTGATCGTAAGCTTATCAGTTCTGTCTTCTTGTGCCCTCACTGCGCTTTGGGAAGTGTGGCAGATGTGTTACACTGTGTCTAAATGGCTGCAGGTTTCAGACAGTCATGCCCCAGATGATCATGAGTGTGGCCTAAAGTAACTGACCACCAAATAAAACATCATCATTTAGTAATGAGTTGACACACAAATGTCAAGTAGTCATACCTTGACCAAGTTTACTTCCTTTATGTTAAAGTTCTTGGATATAGGCGACCATGCAGCGACAACACAACATATTATACATATATTGATATGCATTTCCATCCTTAACTCACAAAGCGGGAAACAAAATTGTGTAGAAAATAAATGAAAACCGGATCGAATAGAATTGGACGCATTAAACATGTCGGAAATCCCGCCACTGCTAAAGCTTTCAAAAAAAAAAATTAAATTTTTACTTGGTCTCATCTTGTATAATTTTTTTCAAGCGTGTCGTATATGTCACCAATGTAGGTGGTCAAATTTATTTCTCCTGCTGTCTTTCTCATTCCTAACTGGGTTCCTGTGGAGTCGTCCAAACGGGTCGTATGCTAACACCACTAAGTTAACATCTTTCACTTTCCGTCCTTTCTTTCATAAGCGCATAATACTGGCCGCTTCATAACCGTTCAGTTTCAGGAAAAAAACTTGAAGTAGGCTGTCGATGAAAAACTAATGCGCGGTCTTATGAAGATTCTGGCTTTCACCGTGACATTAACAAAAATGCCTATCTGTTTAGATTGTGCATATTGTTTAATCTAGGTACTTTCCATTGTCGAACGTGCAGGATGTTTATCCAACCTAGGTTTATAAGTGTACAACCATATTTGTCAGAATCCATTGTTTTCTCTATGTCTGGAGCATGTAACACTGGCTTACAAACCCCACCTGAGTATACTGGTAACTGAGCAAATAAGGTCTGTTGTGGAAGTAAGCAAAGCAGGCGTCGTCTTAATTTACCCCGTGTAACTAAGCAACCAAGGTCTATTCCCTGCATCTCTCAGAGGGTATCGGCTCTGTTTATTCCATATCTAGGCAGTAGCTGTGACATCGCATATATTTTCATCTGCCATTTTATTTACCTATAGTGTTATGTGGCTAAGTGTCATTGGACCATATTCACGCTCGTTTGGTATTTGTTAGAATGCGATGTATCCAATTGAGAGGGGAGGAGTTCACATCTTATGGCAGAGAGACTTTCAAAGAGTTGCGTGTGAAGTACGGGAGTTTTGGTTACAACACGTATACTTATGGAATCTGTGCGAATGGAATCATTCAGTGACTTATTTACACATAGCCATGATGTTAACTAGCGACTGGCCTTGCATCCCATAATCCTCACAAATAGCATATTTTTTATGTCTATCAAAATCTTTTTCTTCAACTACAAACACAATATTGTCCTATTCAATAGTTTTCAGGCAAACTTGTCATAGGGTAAAAAATGCTTTTGTGGGGCCTTTTTCCTTTCCTGAAACCAAAATTGTGATGTAATTATTTTAGTGCTGTTCCGTTATAAATCTAACTCCCTGTTCAAATAAATATATTATTGATTTTAAAAACGTTAATTGTTTTCTTCTGTCCACGAGAGTGCCCAGGTGGCAGGTGGTTCGGCGAGGATTGCACTGACCCATGTCCAGAGACATGTAAAGGTGGGGTCTGTGATGCACTCACCGGTGACTGTAAAGGTAATTTAACATTTCGTAGGCAATTCGTCTGTAAACAGCACATAATCAACGTTCACTCAAATCAGTAACATAAGCTCTTTGCACTCTAAGCTGCGGTGTCATGGAGTAAGCTCTTTGCACTCTAAGCTGCGGTGTAATGGGGTAGGCACTTTGCACTCTAAGCTGCGCTGTCATGGAGTAAGCTCTTTGCACTCTAAGCTGTGGTGTCATGGAGTAAGCTCTTTGCACTCTAAGCTGCGGTGTCATGGAGTAAGCTCTTTGCACTCTAAGCTGCGGTGTCATGGAGTAAGCTCTTTGCACTCTAAGCTGCGGTGTCATGGAGTAAGCTCTTTGCACTCTAAGCTGGGGTATCATGGAGTAAGCTCTTTGCACTCTAAGCTGCGGTGTCATGGAGTAAGCTTTCTACACTCTAAGCTGGGATATCATGGGGCGAGCTCTTTGCACTCTAAGCTGGGTTATCATGGAGTAAGCTATTTGCACTCTAAGCTGCGGTGTCATGGAGTAAGCTCTTTGCACTCTAAGTTGGGGTATCATGGAGTTAGCTATTTACACTCTAAGCTGCGTTGTCATGGAGTAAGCTCTTTGCACTCTAAGTTGGGGTATCATGGAGTAAGCTCTTTGCACTCTAAGCTGCGGTGTCACGGAGCAAGCTTTTTACACTTGGATATGCTGTATTATCGAGTGTATTCATGAACACTTTTAAATCAATATTTAATAAAGTAAACCCCTTTACTATTCAGTTTCAGTCGTCATCATTATGTCACCGGTATCCCACGTAGATATTTAAAACAAACGGAAACATAAAATTCTAAACACCAGAAATGAACTGTGTACAACAAATCTTAAAATCCTAAATGTAATCAGAAGAGAGAGGATTTAAACATGGCATCGCCAGTTTATGTGTGAGTTTTGTGGTTTGCGTTTCCTAGGTTGACCCATCCCTAAATGGGTACTAGATAAAGTTCCTAGAAGAAAAGTCCTAAGGCGTGATGACAAATTCCCCCACTGAGAGCAGATTGGTCTATAAATTATAGGTCTACCTTATATTACTAGTGCGCTTGGAAGATGGCCATTTACTCACCACTGCTTGGAGAATACGGGTGTTATCGTCAATGACAGCTTGGAGAATACGGGTGTTATCCTAATGACTGCTTGGAGAATACGGGTGTTTTCATAACAACTGCTTACAGAATACGGGTGTTAGCATTACAACTGTTTAGAGAATGCGGGTGTTATCGTAACAACTGCTTAGAGAATACTGTTGTTATCTTAATGACTGCTTGGAGAATACGGATGTTATCGTAATGACTGCTTGGAGAATACGGGTGTTATAGTAATGACTGCTAGGAGAATACGGGTGTTATCGTAATGACTGCTTGAAGAATATGGGTGTTATCGTAATCACTGCGTGGAGAATACGGGTGTTATCATAACAACTGCTTAGAAAACACGGGTGTTATCATAACAACTGCTTAGATAATACGGGTGTTAACATAACAACTCCTGGGAGACTACGGGTGTTATCATAACAACTGTTCCGAAATATGGGTGTTATAACGACTGTTTTGAGAATACGGGTGTTACCATAACGACTATTTCGAGAGTACGGGTGTTGTCATAACGACTGTTTCTAGAATACAGGTGTTATCATAACGACTATTTCCAGACTTCAGACGTTATCATAACGACTGTGACGAGGATTCCGGTGTTATCATAACGACTGTTTTGAGAATACAGGTGTTATCATAACAACTCCTTAGAGAATACGGGTGTTCTAGTAACGACTGCTTCGAAAATACGTGTGTTATCATAACAACTGCTTCGATCTGACGGGTGTTATCATAACAACTGCGTCAAGAATACGGGTGTTATCGTAACAACTGCTTCGAGAATACGGGTGTTATTGTAACGACTGCCTCGAGAATACTGATGTTATCTTTTTTTTTTTTTTGTCAAAATCTGCTTGTGCCGCTAGGCGTCGCAGTCTATCAGATGATCGGCAACCGAGCCAGGGCGCGCTCAGTCGCTTCATATGCCGTGATGTTATGAAGTCTCAAGTTGTCCGTGACTCCTTCAATCCATATTCTTCTTGGTATTCCCCTGCCTCTTGGTGTTTCGATTTTCATGTTGTATGCTCTTGATGCTGGCATCGTTGGTTCCATTCTCATTAGGTGACCAAACCATTTCATTCTTTGCTTCTCAATAAATTTAACGATGGGTATGGTTCCAATAGTTCTTGTAATCACATCGTTTCTCACTCGATCTCTTCTGGTTTTATTCGCAGCCATTCTCAAACATCTCATTTCACAGGTGGTTAGTCTTCTCTCGTGTTCTTTTGTTAATGTCCAAGTCTGACATTGTAACCTAATGTCGGTTATAAAGATTGTATTTATAATTTGTCTTTTTATCTCAGCTGGGACAGCAGGGTGTTTTAAAATTGGGGCAAGCTGGTATGCGACATTGTTGGCTTGTTGGATTCTTGCTTCAATCTCTCTGTCTATTTTACCATTGGATGTAAAGATACTTCCCAAGTATTTAAATTCTTGCACTTGTTTTAGGCTGTGATCTAGAATCTTTATGTCGATGGATGTTATCTTAACGACTGCTAAGAGACTACGGGTGTTATTGTAACGTCTGCTAAGAGAATACATGTGTTATCATAACAACTGCTTAGAGCATATGGCTGTTATCGTAATAACTGCTAGAAGAACACGGGTGTTATCGTAACGACTGCTTTGAGAATACATGTTTTATCGTAACGACTGCTTAGAGAAAAAGCATTTTATCGTAACAACTGCTTAGGAATGAAAGAGCTCAGATTTGCAAAATTGTGAGGCAAGGCTAGCTAGCTAACACCTTGCTACCTCGAATGACAATGCTTAAAGTGCACGCCTTTTTTCATCCGTGTCGTCTGATTGTTATTCTAGAATGTTCGGATGGCAGGTACGGAGCACGGTGCACACAGACTTGTCCGTACACATGTAAAAATTTGCAGTGTGACATAACTGACGGCTACTGCACAGGTAAGTCAGCAATTATTCTCCTCCTTATCATTATCATCCTGGAAAGCACTATCATGATCATCATCATTATCATTATTTTTATTATTGTTAATATTATTATTATTTCTATCATTGATATTATCATTATTGTTACTATTACTCATCAGCATCTTTAGTATCGTCATGATAAGATAATTCAATTATGTAATAATAATTAAACTCTTTTGCACTCCAGGCATCAGTTTAGGGAGCTTTTTTTTTACCCCATCAACTGTGCTGAACACTGGATAGATAAACAGAGTAATAAAGATGTTTTGTAAAAAAAACTATCTCTCGGCTAGAAGTGATTGCCCATATTAAAAAGAGACAATAATATACATTCTTTCGTTACGTGGTCAAAGGGGAAAACAGGAGTACATGATTGACAGTAGGAGAGCCGGAGAGAAGGAGAGGCAGAGGGAGACGGAGAGAAAAGATGCTAGACAGGTTTGAAGTCATGACATAGGGGATCGTCTGTATTGTGAGTACACGAGACAGGAAGTTGCGGATAAACATGATTACCAACACCACACGGCCTGGACTCGTAGATGAAGAAGTAGAAGAAGAATGAGGTTGTCTTTCCTTATCAGCGTGTGGGTGTGTGTGTGTGGTGTGTGTGTGTGATGGTTGTAACTCGAGGAAAAGGTGTACTTGTTCAATGTCTGAGTGTTACAAACAGAAGTTATGACCAGTTATGTTATATTTTACACGATTTGCTCTCCGAAGGCAAGCTAGGGAGAATATTGACTGATTATTTTATCAAAGAAAAGTTTCTCTACTGAAACTTGTAACACCAACCCCAAAAACACAAACAAAAACAATGATTGCACAACTGTTTGCCTTGAATATTCCCCCGCACCACGTCTGGTGCATGCACGCTACAGCACCTGGTAAATCATGTTGCCTTGAATATTCCGCTCCACCACGTCTGGTGCATGCACGCTACAGCACCTGGTAAATCATGTTTGCCTTGAATATTCCGCTCCACCACGTCTGGTGCATGCACGCTACAGCACCTGGTAAATCATGTTGCCTTGAATATTCCGCTCCACCACGTCTGGTGCATGCACGCTACAGCACCTGGTAAATCATGTTGCCTTGAATATTCCGCTCCACCACGTCTGGTGCATGCACGCTACAGCACCTGGTAAATCATGTTTGCCTTGAATATTTCGCTGCACTACGTCTGGTGCATGCACGCTACAGCACCTGGTAAATCACATGTTTGTTGAATATTCCGCTCCACCACGTCTGGTGCATGCACGCTACAGCACCTAGTGAATTCAAAGAATGCTGCCAGCTGAAACACAACACATGCAACTACAGTGTGTTCCCAAAGTCCTGCCGAATTAAAAAATCTGCAACTCAGTAATCGCTAGGTGAAAGTTGTTGACATTTGGCAGGCAGCCAGTTAATAATCATGTCTTTGTAAAAACAAACATTAAGTTTTCATTTGGCCTTTTTTGCGGTTTATGGGGTGCGCGGTTGGTTTGCAGACACTGAATGAAAGCAAACAGTCACCGTACTTACAATAACTTCCGTAAACTGTGTAAAGAAAACTTTTCGAAATTTCTTTTTTGTTTACTGGCTGAGAGCTCCAGCAGAAAGTCCTGGTTGTTCGTCTGTTTGGGCCTTTGCTTTGAGCCAGGGCCTGAGTTAAGCATTTACATCCGTTTTACTGATTTATTTGTGTGCAGTCGGTTGTTCCTTGGACCTCGGGCAAATTCAATCCGACTTCGAAGAAGGTCCCCAGTTAGTGGACTCTTACGACATTTTGCTGGGAAGCAAATGGGTCTCTTCTGGTTTTCTCTCTGACAGGAAACCAAGTTTAAACATTAAATGACATCCGTGACTTAGGCGTTTCACTCCCAGGCGGTCATCCCCAGCATAAGTCTTCGTTGCCGATTGTTCATCGAGTGATGAATAGGCTATCGAAATAATCACTACGTTTTTGCTCGCCATCTCCACTCGTGTGTCAATTACTGTATATTCTATTTTTCAGGGGTACATAAATTATTAGTCAAGCAAAGATTAGAGAAATGTACAGCTTTAAGAAAACAGCAGCATCTGCGCAATTGTGAATTATAGAATCATAAGGATAAGAAAAAAATGAAGCCAAAATTCAAAAATTAGTGTTGCTCCGTACAGAAGTTTTGGAGATATTTGTTAAAATATGACGGCAGTAGTTTTTGAAACACACTGTAATTGTTTCTGCAGTGGGCTTTGCGTTTCAGTAGTAGTAGTACATTTTACCCCACTAGGATATCACGCAATTGATAAACACCCGATGACACAAAGTGCCACCATGTGGATGAGGATCGCCCGTGGAGAAGTCCCGGAAACCGCGTTAAGCCATAAGACCATATTTATGTCCGGGCTATATTGCGGCCCTCGTAAGCCAGCATACGGCGATCGAAACCCACTGCAGGCTGCGTGGATTTTTGTCGTGGTATGGGACGTCGCAGGTCGACCCAGCCTAAAATGGGTACCAGGATGGGCTGTCCTGGGAAAGTAAAGACAGCCGGCGTAATGCTGACCACATTACCCACAGAGTGCTGATGGTCTGTAAAAATATGGGACGCTCTGCCCATATGCCCGATGCGCCGAAAGGCGTGAAAAGGGAACTTTTTTTTTTTTTTTTTTTTTTTAATATTGCGGCCCCTGGCAAGAGCAGGCGTTGGGCTTCAAAATAACGAAAAATCGCACCCCACAAGGAGATGACTGGTTGTTACTTTGTGTTTTAGCGAAGAGGATTAGTTTATGGGCTTTGGTATGCACATAACATAATATGCCTGGAAATATATTGTGCATTGTATTGTTTGTGCCTTCCTTGGTCATAATAATATTATTATATAATCGTTGTTCTGAACAGATTTATAACCAATCATATTAATGACTAATCAGGTTCTCTAGCTGATGTGACATTTGTTTCCACCAGAGTGTATGGCTGGGAATTATGGTGCCAACTGCACACTGTTTTGTTCTAGATTATGTAAGGACCATGACTGTGATAAAACCAGTGGTCAGTGTCGAGCATGTATGAACGGCCAACCACCCAACTGCACAGGTACAAATATAACAGACATCACTTCAATATCATTACTGACACAATCATTACTACACATCAGTATCTTCACATTGTCAGTTTCATTGTCGCCATGGCAGTTCGTGAACAAAACAACACAACGTAACGGTAAGGCTGCCAGGCCGAAACGTTCTGTTGTTTTGTTCACGTTTTCTGCTTCCCCGTTTTGTTGAGCTTTTTAGTCAAATTTCTCTGGAATTCCTTTTAAACTAACAAGTGGAATAATACTGACAGTTTCAGATTAATCACAATGCAGATGAGGAAACCCCCCCCCCCCCCCCCCTCTTTCCCCACAGACACAAAACCCCACACTAAAAAGGAACAGAAACAAGTAACTAGGATCACAGAGTTGTACGACACACAGTGATACAAGCAGATGTGTTCAAACCAGTCTGTACATCAAGGAAGACACACTCTTGATCACTATCACATCATCGTCGTCATTTTTTCATGAAACAGGTTTTTTTTTTTTTTTTTGGAAACCGTCGCAACTGGTAGTATTAACTAATACTCTGATCTTGCCCTGTAGACTGGGCGCACATCTATTGCTACAGAAGATTTCCATTTAGAACAGTTCGATTGCTCTAAACATACTTATGTCCAATACTAAAACATCACTATTACATAACGGCCGCACGTCTATTGCTACAGAAGATGTCCAACTAGAACAGTTCGATTGCTCTAAAACATACTTATGTCCAATACTAAAACATCACAATCACATAACGGCCGCACGTCTATTGCTTCAGAAGATGTCCAACTAGAACAGTTCGATTGCTCTAAACATACTTATGTCCAATACTAAAACATCACAATCACATAACGGTAACCTCGTATGTGGTACAGGATGCCAAGCATACATACAAACATTTATAGTGAACTGACTGTCTGACATGATCAAAATATATTCATATGCATGGCTCGCTGCCTTTGATTTCCCTTATATAAAGAAAGACAATCTAGTATATTTATGATGCCTCTTATACATGTCCAAACAGACTGCCCAGGAGGGACGTATGGCTCTAAGTGTAGCTTGACCTGCCCTCAGTTCTGTGACTACAATATATGCGATATCCATCTGGGACAGTGTTTTGGCTGTCAGGAGGGGAAAATATTGCCTTTCTGCCTAGGTACATGTACACCTTGTTTTTGTTCCGGCCTATGTTTTCTTTAATCGGATTCAGTGGCTCGAGAAGCGCTCAGAAAAAAAAAAACTGGACCTACATTGCAGCGGAAATGATGGACTTCAGTCTTGTTACAGGAGTTACATTTTGAGTGCACATCCGTGTTACAGATCTGGCTTATTATTACTTTGTTCAAGGCGTCTCAAAGGATACAATCCGACTTCGGAGACGGCAACGAGCCTATCTATGTCTGACAAGCATGGGTTTGAACCTCTTTCTAGGATGACAGCTGAAATAAAAGTCAAATGTTGAAACAAGTAGAGAGATTCGGTTATCTAGGGTCACATATTAAAACATATGGGTGACGTATCAAAGAGACCGCATGCAAACAAAGACAGCATTCCATCAAACGTGGCCCATTTTGTGTTAACTCTTTGAGTCCCAGGGGGTTTAGCATCAGAAGCCCAAGGGCTAGTCAAAAGAGATAAAAATTGGCGCATCTTGCGTTCATTGGGCCTTTAGGCGGGAACCTATAAACGTATGATGCGTTCCTTGGGACTCAAAGAGTTAAAGTACTGATCCTTTCTGACAGAACACCAGTCATAATGTCCATATTTCTATACAGTTGAGAATTATAGACTGAGGGGGTGAGGGTGTGGCGAGTAGAAAGCAGCTGGACACAACAGACATGCGATATTTGCACATAACAAATTTTGCAGATACCTCAACCATATATTTTGTGCATATGTGTTGTAATAACGTATTTCTACGTTTTGTTCACAGACCTAGATTTATCAGTGGATCCTGCAGCGTACCACTTCAGACCTAATCCTTTTTGGCTGACATTGATTGTACCCCCACTGGTTGCTCTATTCGCCTGTTTATTCGTCAGACGAAAGAAATCCACAAGGGAGCACGCAGAGCGCGCAGGTTTATAGACACCACACTCAGCTGGCCATTTTGAGCACAAGTGTTGCCAGCTATCACCGACATTTTTTCAGGGAGCTGTGATTGTCAAAGCCTGCACATTTGTGAACACAAGTCTATTACATTAAATTGTGTGTTTGCTTATTTATGTTTCGTCATTATTAATGTATTTCCAGTGTATAGCTGGCCACAGAGAATTCACTAACTGAGTCCTCACATTTTGGGTTACACATCAGTTCAGCTGGAACTGCAGAGAGATGAATGCATTAATGATTGATAAAAACATTAGTTCTGCTGGAACTGCAGAGAGATGAATGCATTAATGATTGATAAAAACATTAGTTCTGCTGGAACTGCAGAGAGATGAATGAGAGATGACATCAGTTCATTAATGTTTGATGAAATGCACATCAGTTCAGCTGGAACTGCAGAGAGATGAATCCAAAGTAAAGTTCTCAGAATAGTCATTAGTCAGGAAATAAAAAAAAGGGCTTTTTAAAAAACCGACTGACAAACATCCTTTTATCATATCTATAAAAACTGAAAACTACTCATCTAAAACCTGTTTCTCTAAAACAGTAACACCCCCTCTAAAGATGCAAGAAAAGATATAAGACCGAACGAAAAGTATATAAGCAAGCTTCACAATATAACAAACACAAACAAAACGTGAACGTTGCGGCTATTGAGCCTTCATCAGCACATACAAATGAAACAGTACTACACAAAAACACAAAATCGCTTACCTGGTATCTCGATGCAGCCGGGTCGGTTGTTTCTCAGCAGAATGACTACACGTGTCGGCTAGGGGAATAAATACCCCCTGTATAGTACAAGGGGCCATAACTAGGGGTTGGGCAATTCAATCGCCTAGTAGTTTAAATAAAACTGTGTTGGCAATTCAGTCCGGAGGGTGTTAAGGTCCCCAGAGTATAAAAATAGCGATTCTCAAGAGACTTGCGAACTCTGTCACTGGAATGGCTGGATTTAATGGCTGTCACCTCCATGTCAAGGACACCTTGGTGATCCTAAAGATTGAAGTGCAACGGAACTAGTTTCAGAACATCATTATGCTCATCCAAAAGATGTTGTCTGAACCTGTCGGCCAGCCGTAGATCTGTTTCACCAATGTATTAATCTCACTCTACAGATGCAGCAATGTGGGAATAGATCCATGCATACAACGCAGACTTACAACCTAACTATACAGCCATAACAGCAATCCCAGGCATAGACAGAGCGGCTGAAGAATGTGACCTAGTTATGAAAACGAACACCCTTACACATGTCCACAACTCTGACCCAAAACCAGAATGGACACACGTATACACTGATGGATCACTGGAGATATCAGAACACAATCGGAAAGGTTGTTTTGGTCATCATGCTGCAAATTAGGGCTGCAGTGAAAAAGACGTACCTCCGGAAAACTCTCAACAAACATCAGAGCAGAACAGCAAGAAGTTATTGATGTAACAAAACTGTTTTAAGGAAAGGGATGGGGGGGGTAAGGGGGGGGGTGGGGGTGGGGGGGGGGGGGCTGGGGGGGGGGGAGGGGATGGGGGGGGGGGGGGGTCCAGTGACATTGTTTTCCGGTGTGAAATGCATGCTAGTTCTCCTCTGGCGACAGAGTGATTCATGAAACAGCATTGAAATAGAACTGACCTGCCAGCTAAGTAAGCTCTCGAGGAAAAAAAGAATCCCAAACGTTCTCCAATGGTCCCCGACCCACTGTGGGGTTTAGAAGGAAATGAGCTGCCGGACAGACTTGCATAGATTGGCACTAAAAAGATATCTCTAACCAACACACGTTTTCTTTGTCACTAACAGAAATCATATCACCTACCAATGTGAAATACGTGGGATAGTGGAGAGAACAGTGGGGAATAGTGAACAGTAAACATCCACAAGCCCCATCAGCAGACTCAACAGAAAACAATATATACAACTTTTCAGTCTAAGAACAGGACACTGCAGGCTCAACTAATGTACCCATAAACTAAAGATTGTTCAGTCCTCACACTGTGCATGTCAGACGGGACCACAAACATATGAGCACATTTTTTCAGATCTGCATACTACATTTACAAGAGAAACCTGGCTTTCAACAAATGTGCAGAGCAAGATATGGGGAACCACGAGGGACCTGCAGCTGACATGAATTCAAAGAAGCAGCCCACTTAACGGTGTGACTAAGCATACAAAACCGAACTCGAAGGCGTAGTTTGGTGTTACAGGAACGGTGTATGCTCTCAAACTTTTGACTTTGATTACCTTATTGATGCCTAACCATAGATTTTGTCAGCTGCTCAATCTTTATATTGCTCTGGGCATCCTCATTATGACTTTCGTCGACAGCCTCCGTTGCTGTTTTTTATGAGACTAAATATTCAAAGGTTTTGACATTTTCACTTTCTTCATAATCTATTGTGTTGGGAAAAAAAAGGAGGGGGGGGGAGGGGTAGGCACCCATTTTTTGTCTCTGGACATTATTATTGCTGTCTGTAAATTCAACAACAAATTGTGGTCATCAATGTGTTTTTGGACACACTTGATTACATCTAAAGGACTGTGTCATCTGCGTGGTGAAGTTGCGGAATAAGGTTGCAACTAATTATGAACGGTTCATAACTTTCCAAAATTTTATCACTTTTAACATTTCAAATGATTTATGCATATGTATTGAATAAGTACGGTTAGAGAATGCACAATTGCTTCAAACCTTTTTGCAGCTCAAACCTATCTGATGTTTCTCCAGCTGCTCTTATGGCTGCTTGTTGTTGATGATACAGATTTTGTAGTAAATGCGCCAAATGCTGGAAACCTCATTCTCCACTATTTCTGATGTTGGAAACATTCAAGGATCAAGCTATGATCAAAAAATCTAACATAGAGGTCTAAGTTGTATTTGCTATATTTTGCTAAGATTATTCATTAAAGATATGATCTCAAGTTTCTCCTTGTTTTTAAGCCGCATATGCTCCTTTTAGCTCATATTGTAAATGCCTTTCAATCCATCATCATCATGTAGGAGGTCCTTTGCAGAACGTCGCTCTCATCACGGTCTGCCTGAAAGAAACTCGATCTTTCGCCAGTTCTCCCGCTTCAGGTACTTTTATACTCAAGGAGTCATATCCTGTGCACATCTTTGTGTCGGTCGGCCCCTGCCTCTCCTTCCTGGTACCATGTCTTCTGATATAATTTTTTTTTAAATCCGTCGTGGCGCTTGATGTGACCCAAATTTGCCAGCATTCGAGACCGGATGCTGTGTATTAGCCAATCTTTCTTGATGTTCAGATCTTTCAAGATATCAGTATTTCTCCTCTTCTTTGTCCAAGATATTCTGAGAATCTTTCTATAGCATTTCAGCATTTCAGCTCAAAAGCCCTTATTCTCTTTCTTAAGGACTGAGAGATAGTCCACGACTAACATCCGTATCTAGCTACAGAGAAGATGCATGCTCTCAAAATTCTAACTTTTATCTCCTTGCTGGTGCCTAACCATAGACTTTTAAGGCTGTTCAATCTTTGCATTGCTATGGCCATCGTCCTTTTAATTTCTGTCAAACAGTCTCCATTGCTGTTTATTATAGAAGCTAGATATTTAAAGTTTGTGAAATTTTCAATTTCTTTATTATTTATTGTATTTTTTTTTTTTTTTAACTGGTGACAACCAGTTTTAATTGTGGACATTTTTGTTTTCTTTAAATTCAAGAACAAATTTTGATCCTCTGCATGATAATTCCTATGAGGCCCTACCTATCGATAGTAAATAATGTGATTTTACAGTAGTTAGTGCATAGTTTCCAATAATGTGATTTTACAGTAGTTAGTGCATAGTTTCCAATTATGTGATTTTACAATAGTTAGTGCATAGTTTCCAATTATGTGACTAACTAGTCTACAAATTCTGGTCATTCTTTCATGACACTAGTCTGAAATGTTTGTCAATTTTCGAATGTACCTAGACCCAAAACGATGCAGTTAATTCTCATGAATTTCTTGATCATAAATTTTAAAAATAGGTGTGTGTTTAAGTTTGTGCGCGTGTACCAGCGTGTTTGTTGATTTGCGTGTGTCTGTTTCTATATGTTGTACGTTAATATGTCTTATTTTGTTCAGCGATGAACTTCTTACTCCGTCTTGTGGCCAGGCTCATTTCTTGTGCACACATCCGTCTGTATGCACTACTGCATCATTCTCCCAGTAACATCTTCTATTACCTGGTTTGATTCTGTTCTGCTGCCTGGGAAATTTCTGGACAACCACTGGTACCAACAGTTATAGGACAATGAAAATGACGCCGTGCTGGAGTGGAGACATCATGCGAAGACAAGAGCAGAGAATCAACAAACAGGCACTGCAATAGACAATAAAGGACTGGAAGCCAACAATGCGCGAATAGCTGCTATCCATGATATCAAAGAGATTGTGCAAGAGAGAACTGAATGGGCGAATAGACTGCAAGTCCAACATGTAATTTGATGGCACACCAGGCAAATGATGATGATGGTGTTTTTCTGGAGCCCCACTATTGGCTGACAAAGCAGAGCAGGTCTTTTTGGGGAGTAGTTCAAGCGGATAAGCAAACAGATCAACACAGCCTTGAAGGAACGATGCAAAGGAAAATGTCCATAAGTATACTTGTTTGCGTCTTCTTATAGACTAATCAGCACTTGGTGGGTGAGCTGGTCAGCATGACACCGTCTGCCTTTACTTCCCATGATTTTTCCTGGCATCCGGTTAAGGCTGGGACGACTTTGGAGTCATTAAAAGAATTAGTGGCTAAATCCGGACCTGAACCCTGGACATTTAGATCCGCAGGCGAGTGTCTAGCTGCTTCACCACATGTAAGCAATTAACTATGTTCACTTCCTACACTGACCACGTGTGATGGCCGTGTGCAACAGGGTGTTGTGAGCCTGAGTTCGAGACCTTCCTGGCTACTTCAACAACGGCATCCTGAACGGTGCAGTTTCGAACATGTTTACTTTCTGTCCTCGACAAAATGA